AGTGTCGCTTAGTACGGAAAACCCACTTACAACCAACCACGTTATAAGATGGTCGAGACGGAACAAGAGTCCAAGTGCCATTGCGAAGCAAAGCATTGAACTCCTCAGTCATAGCATCATGCCACTTTGGATCCTTAAGAGTTTGCGAAACACACGTAGGTTCCACGTCATGGTTTGGATGAAGGGAATAGGTAAGATAACCTTAGGGTGAGGTTTAGAGATGTTGTTTTTGGAGCGAGTAACCATTGGGTGAGTGTTTTGTAGGGGAACAAGAGGTGGTGGTGGGTCAATGAGTATATGAACGAGTGAGTCAGTGAGCAAAGTTTGGGGTGGTGGTTCGATAAGATGGGATCGGGAGGGTCATGAGGCATCGAGTGCGGAGAAGGTTGAGGAGGTAGCAAAGGCGGCAAAGAGCAGGTGAGAGGCATTGAGGAGTTCCTTGCGAGTGACGGAACAACACGAGAGACCAGCTCAGGCGATGACAGTGTGTAAGAATGATCAAACCTGCATGGAACAAGGGAAGACCGAGAGACAGACAAGAATGGAGAAGAGTCAACCGGAGAGTGAGAGGTTGAAATAAGCCTAGAGCAAGAAAATTCTGACTCAACAAACTCAACATGACGAGAGACATATAGACGAGAAGTGGCAACATGTAAACAAAGGAAAGCACTTTGGGTGAGAGAGTAACCCACAAAGACACAAGGGGTTGATCGAGGTTGTAGTTTATGACTAGAATAAGGATGAAGCCACGGGTAGCAAAGACAACCAAAGGTACGAAGTTTAATATAGTTTGGAGATGACTCAAAAAGAACCTCAAAAGGGGAGCGACCGTGAAGGACCGAAGTGGGGAGACGATTGATCAAATAGACTTCGTCGGAAAAGCAAAGTTCCAAAGGTCCAAAGGGATGGATTCCCGAGATAAAAGTGTAAGTCCGGTTTCAACAACATGACGATATTTACGTTCCGAAATACCATTATGCTCGGGTGTGTGGGGAGGATAAGTAAGATGTGAAATACCATGACACGAAAGAAAATCTCTAAGTGCAATATATTCTTCATCATTATCCGAATAAAGAGTGACAATTTTGGTTTGAAAGCGATTTTCAACAAGAGATTTGAACTTTAGAAAAATAGTCGAAACATGAGATTTGTGCCGCATAGGGTAAAACCATGTATATCGGGTAAAATGATCAACAAAAATAACGTAATACTTGTAGTCGTCAAAAGAGGTGACGAGCGAAGTCCATACATACGTCCGAATATAAAAGTTCAAGAGGTCCAAGTGAGGTAAGCGTGGAAGTAGAAAAATGACGTTTATGACTTTTAATAATAAGACAAGAATCACAAGACAATGGATGACTCGACAAAGAGGACAATGGAAGAGAAAAACGTGAGATAATAGAGTTTAAAACATCTTGAGATGGATGACCTAATCTAGAGTGCCACTCAGAGAGAGAGGTCTTGACACTCGAAAGAGCAAGAGCCGAGGGCTTATTGGAGGATACATACAAGGAATGGATAGTCGGCCATTCATACACACCGCCATTAAGGGGCCTGGTTAGTAGTGGTGCCCCTGTGTTGAGATCCTTCACCTGAAAGAAACGAGAAAAGAATTCCACCGAAACATTGTTAGAATAACAAAGCTGATGAATGGAGATGAGGTTCTTATGCATGGTAAGAACACAAAGGACATTTTGAAGATTAAGACGACGAGAGCTAGAAGGAAGAGACGAGGAACCAGTGTGCGTTATGGCAAGCCCGGAGCCATTGCCAATGATAACTTCATCTCCGCCTTGGTAGGGTGAATGGAGAGATAAATTAGCAAGGTCGGTAGTGACATGGTATAAGACTCCCGAGTCGAGCAACCAAGATGATGGTTAACAGGGGGAGACAGTTGCGGTCTGAGCCAATGGTTTCCAAGGACTAGTGGTATGAGGTGGACTGGAGTCGGCAGGAGAGCGAGCAACCGAAGGAGGAAGCAGGCGGCATGTTCGGGCACTATGCCCTTGAACACCGCATAGTTGGCATTTTCCGAGGTATCCTCGAGACTGTGTACGCCATGGTTGAGATCGGGATTGAGTTGAGCGAGAACCCTGAGCAAGAGAAGGTCGGGCCATTGATGAAGGCTGGGGACCAAAATCAGTAGGAGGATGCCAATGAGATCGAGGTGTATGTTATCCCGCATAAGCCGAAATAGGAGAATCTGAGAGATGTATAGCAGCAAGATCGACATCAAGACTCAACAGTTTCTCATGTAACTCGACAAATGAGATTGGAGTGTCTCGAGAATGTACGACATCTTTGATATACTTGTACTCAGCACCGAGGCCAGTGAGAATTAGATCAATGAGATCCTCATGATGTTGGTTGTAATGCTCTAGGATGATCCGTGATATGACATTTTGACTTTGTATTGATTCATTGATTTATGAATGCATTACATTCCCGTTATATGATTGGCATGTTTGTTATATTTCGGTATCCTTGAATCATTACAGAATGATTCTAAACTCCCTAGTCAGTCAATATTGTGGGAACAATGTTGAATTAAGACTAGCATGAGGTGTGATCGATGCATTGGATGCATGTCACAATCATGGGTACTCGTTGTGAACGAGTGACTGGATGACCCGCATGAGATTGTCACATGGACAGAGTCATGACTTGAATCTCATAAAGCGGTTCGTTCTTGGATCCTCAGACCTGAGATGTCTAGAGTATCTGATATGAGGAGTGGCGTGTCTTGACTGCGTCAAACGTCGTCTTTAACCGGATGATTATAACGGCGTTGATCAGACACGTTCACGAATCATATGGAGATAGTAGACATGCAATATGGGACTTGTCACCTCCTTAACAGGAGAGATATCGCTGGGCCCTCTCGTGGAAGTCGGACTATGAAAACGCGTGGCCACGCTATAGATGAAGTTGCATCTATTTTATTAGTCGATTTGCCAAGACGAGAAAGCAGTTGAACTTGAAGGGTGGCTCAAACCATGCCCTTGTTCAACTTATGATATCGTGAGACAAAGGATCAGAATTCGAGCTGTTAATGCCTTGGTTAGATCACCTCTAACTCAATTCTAAATGGGTGGTCATGGCGTCTTGCTAGAGGCTAACCATGACTTGTGGTTCGGGAAAGGTTCTCGAGGCTGCTGCCACTGCGAATGGGCCTACAGGGTCACACACCAATAGGGATGGACTTATACGTGAAGAATACGAAGAATGGAAACGAGATTTGACCGAAACAAGCATGAAAAGGAGTTTTCAGTGCGTTGGTCCGGAGCTAACCAAGTTTGGTCAGCCCC